GAAATTAATTACAAAAACTAGTATGTACACCAGAGGAGCTATATCAGTAATCTACAAAAGCTTAAATGAAGAAATGTGGCGCAAAACAACAACTGTTCAAAGAGCTTGGGAAAAAGACTTAGCACACCCCATAGAAGAAAAAAACTGGTCTCATATTTGGAACTCGTTTCAAATGAAAACTGCACACTTAACTTTAAAATTACAATCGTTTAAATTGTATTCTAGATGGTACTTGACACCCGTGAAACTGTTTTACTGTAAGCATAAACTTACTCCACTTTGTTGGAAAGAATGCGGAGAAAGAGGCTCATATCTGCATTGTTGGTGGGACTGCCAAAAAGTTAATAAATTCTGGCATCAAATCCATGTAGAAATTCAATATTGTATTCTAGATGGTACTTGACACCTGTGAAACTGTTTTACTGTAAGCATAAACTTACTCCACTTTGTTGGAAAGAATGCGGAGAAAGAGGCTCATACCTGCATTGTTGGTGGGAATGCCAAAAAGTTAATAAATTCTGGCATCAAATCCATGTAGAAATTCAAAAAATTACTGGACTGGTTTTACCTTTTACACCTGAAGCTTTTTTATTAGGAGATTCGATAGTATCTATAGTATCTATAGAAAAAAGAGAACTAATTTCTATATTATGCTCAGCGGCCAAAACTTTATTGGCCCAAAATTGGAACCAAAATAAAATTCCTACTGTAAATCAATGGATCTCAAAATGTTGGGACCTTGCAGTTGCAGACAAAATAACGGACCGCATTCTTTCAACATACAATAATACAGTAGTTAATAAGTTTATGCAAAGGTGGTTTTCATTTTTTGATTATGTTACAAAAGATTCAAACACCCTATATCGTGTTCCTGATACATATCTGGATTTTGCATTCTATTAACCTCAGAGGCTAATTGGAGTTGTATAGTTGCATTTTAGTTACTTTAATTGTTGTTTGATGTATTATTATTTGAAACAGTTATTTGTTGAGGGAAGAGGGATATGTTGTATTGTTATAAAATTATAAAACTTAATAAAAACATTTAAAAAAAAAGAAAAGAAAGGATTTGTTAAGTGAAAACATTCAGTATGTAGGATTAATGAGAGTGGATCCCTATGAAAGTGTAACTAAACTTGTACCCCTGGTAAAACTCCATGTAAAGTTTAGGAGTTGGGAGGGTGAGCAATTAGTCTTAGTACATGAAGATTCAATGCATGACTTTGTGATTGGTGCAGATTTCCTATATAAGTCCTCAAGCACGGGAGGAGTACAAACCAGGTCCCAAAAACAAAGGCACACCCTAGACTGTGTTGATCAGGATAAGGGCAGGGTTGAGGCAAATGTACCAGAAGTAGAACGACATGAATTAGGAGGAAACCCCACTGAGCTGCAGTTGAGTGAAAGGGAACAACAGTCTGAAATGAATTACCAAGTGCAGCACAGGGAAACTGAGTTTAATTCTCAGGCATTCAAACAAAGTCAGAAGCAATGTGAAAGTTTAGACCAATGTAGAAGACAGGCTGTAGGAACTGGAGTTCCTTTGACAAATAAAAATACAGTAAGATTTATATGGGAAAATGACCTGTTGTATAGAGAGCATGTTAGAAAAGGGCATTCCAGTGAATGGGAGCCTGTTAAACAATTAGTAATCCTATGGGAATATAGAGAACAGGTTTTGAAGATAGCACATGAAATTCCTCTATCAGGTCATTTGGGAATGAAGAGGACGTTGGCTAAGATTCAGAGGTCCTTCTATTGGCCCAATGTTGCAAAATCAGTATGAGAATTTTGTCAAACATGTCCTATATGTCAAAGGTTGGATATCCTCAGAATAAGACTAGGGCCGAGTTACATCCATTTCCTGTAGTAGCACAGCCTTTGGAAAGGGTTGGAATTGATATTTTAGGACCTTTACTGGCTACTAGGGCAGGAAAACAGTATATTTTGTTAATGGTAGATTATGCTACGCGTTTTCCAGTAGGATTTGCCCTGCGTAGTATTACAGCTCAGAATGTGGCTAAATCTGTCACTGAATTTGCTAGTTTATTTGGATGGCCTAAAATTTTAATCTCAGACAGAGGTAGTAATTTTGTGTCGTGTCTGATGAAGAAATTGTATGAGGTGGCAGAGATACAGCATTTACCTGTTCTGGCATACCATCAGTCTGCAAATGGACTTACCGAACGAATGGTACAGACTTTGGGTAAGATGTTGAGAGCATATTCACAAAACCATCCTAGAGATTGGGATGAAACCCTTTCATATCTTTTGTTTGCGTACAGGGACACACCCCAAGAGAGCTTGGGATGTTCCTTGAATGAACTTATATTTGGCAGAGATCTTCATGGCCCCTTAGACCTCTTAAGAGCAAATTGGGAGGGTGTGGTCTCTGAAAAATGTCCGATTAAAGCAGCTGAATATTTGACAGAATTACAACAGACTCTCAAAGGAGTTAGAAAAGTGGCTACTGAGAATCTGAGGGAAGCCCAACAGACCCAGAAAAGGCAGTACGATGTGAAAGCTAGACCTAGACACTTTGCAGTGGGAGACCAGGTCCTTGTGTTAAGAACTGATTACACAGCCAAACTCGATGTAGCTTGGCAGGGCCCATTTAAAGTTATACAGGTGTTACCAAATGATAACTATGTCGTAGATGAGTTAAATCATGGAAGAAAGCCAGTCATTTACCATGCGAATAGACTCAAATTGTATAGAGAAAATGCAAGAATTAGATCCCATCCACAAGATACACAAGATGTGGAATGTAAATGCTTTGAGATTGTTATGGGAACTAACAGAAATGGGTTGATTGAGTGTGATTTAATGTCTGTAAAATGTTGTGAAGATTTGTCTGTATGATGTTGTAACTTTTGGTATTGTAATTTGACCAACAACTTACCTTAGCTAAAATTTAAGCTGTCCTCATAAATTTTAGCTTAAGAAGGGGCGTGTCACATAACAGGCCTCTTGGTGTATAAGTGTTTGCACTGAGAAAGTAGCAGTAAGTAGCAGCAGAATCACATGCATGAGAAAAGGTAACTATTGACAGCAAACACCTGTTACCTATGATCTGACCCCAAGAGAGTTAAACACAAAGCCCATGTCTTGTGAGGCCGGGTGTGTGGCATGTTGGCAGCGTGACATGTTTGTGTGGTCGTGACAGGGCCACACTGCTAGGGCTCTGGCCAGTTTACAGTCTTATATAAAACTAATGAGATATCAGGCCTAAATATGGTGTTGGGAATCTCCCATCCTATGCATTTATTATATTCATTTCTCACTTGCCTTTTAATGAAACTGGATCCTCAAGGTGCCTTACAACACAAAACACAGTACTCTTTTTTAACCCTGTTTGTTAATTGTGCCTTTTAAAGAATCTTGTTAATTAGATGGTTATGTTTTGTGTCCTTGCATGCTGGTACTGCATGGCCAGTTGCTTTAAATCTAAGGCAGGTTATAATGTTAAATCAAAAAGTAAACAAACATGAAATAGAGCTATATCATTGGATAATCCTACATTAATTGTAGGATAATAAATCCTACATCAGTGCAAGGAAACTTGGCCCTGTGAGGAAAGATTCACCAGGAAAGTAATAATTAGATCCAACTCATTTTTAAAAAAATAAGCAGATGGTTAATGCAATGGATTCCTCAGACATTAATCCCCGCTTTCACTCACCAGAATACAGATCATATTTGACCCTTAAGTATTTTAGATGCACTGGACCTCAACAATCAGCCAGATTCTCAAGCCACCAGGACACTGCCACGTGGATTCCGGCCTCTCAGCCTGTCTCCTGCCTATAAAACTGTACGGACAGGTGGTCATGGTGTTTGTCTGGCAGCGTAGCTGTGGCATTTCATTAGCAGCAATTTTGCCATCTGTGCCGGGTTGCTGCTGTAGCTGACTCAGCCATCCTTGCAATTTAAATCAAATTAGGTGTGCACATTATATTTATAGAGCTCAGTCATAGCTCAGCCTTGCTCAGGGGGTTGATCAACAGTAGCCAAAGAATCGCTGGAGAAACAAAAAAGTTGTACTACATGAAAGGAGACTTAATCACCCTTGCTAATTAGAGCACAGCTTCTCGTGGGACCAAGATAAATTCAAGAAAGTTGTACCTTCAAAGCAGCTGTGACTTTTCACTCTAGCAAACTCAGGTACCATAGTGATGTCACACGTCACACCTCTGCACATGCGGTCCTGTTTAATACGTGTTCAGGTACAACAGCATACACATATTCTGGGGTATGGACAGGGAATAGTGAGTGTTGGCTCCAGGTTGCATCCCTAACCATGGCCTACAGTGCACATTACTCCAGTAGCTTGGAGTGCATTGTAGCCATCCACACACATCATAGCCATCGCCAGGGCTCTAGTCGGGGGGGAGCTCTCAGGTACGGAGCTCCGGAAGAGAACCTCTAGGGGGCGGGGCGGTCACGTGGTGAAGCCCCGCCCCCTTCTTTACCCCGCCCTCTGCTTCGATCCTCATTCCGTTTGGGAATGAGGATGAAGCAGGAGGGTAAGTAGCCGGGCCTTCTGACATACTTCCGGTGATGTCAGGGGGTGTGGCCTTCTGTCACTTCCGGTGATGTCAGGGGGCGTGGCATATGCAAATAAGTTATGCTAATGAGTTATGCTAATGAGCTCCGGCAGCTCTTTTTCTACAACAAGACCCCTGGCCATCGCACTGTTGGTACCAGATCCGTGTACGTGGGAGCTGCACCTACTGAATCCCGGCTCATCTACACAGGCATGTGGTGAGGGCCTCCCGTACCAAAATGCCTGCGTTTTCCTGCGCGATGTACCGTAATGCCTCTGGGTCATCCTCCTCCTCCTGGATGGGCCTGCGTGCCCCCTCTGGCAGCACTTCTGGAATGGGATGTCCACAGTCCTCACACACATTATGCAGGATGACACAGGCACTTACCGCATCATTGACATGCAGAAGGTCCAGTGGGAGCCTCAGTAGCAGACACTGCCACCGTGCTTTCAAACGGCCAAAGGCCCGCTCCACAACATTGCGGACCCGGCCATGCACCTTATTGAAGTGTGCCTGTCGTGGATTCAGGTGACCTTTGTAGGGTGGGATGAGCCATCGCCGAAGGGGGTACGCGGCATTGGCGAGTATGAGCGGTGGCACCTGGACACCCTCAATCATGCATGTTGGGTTACCAGGAACAAACCATCCCGCATCCATGGCATACATGACGTTGGAGCGCATTAGAACATAGGCATCATGGTTCCTATTGCTAAGGCCCACGATGCTATCCACGAAATGGCCCTCGTGATCCACAGTGCCCTGCAGGAGTATCAAGGCGTAGTGTTTGCGGTTCTGGTAGTGTTCCGCCCGGTGGACAGGGACTTTCACACGGATATGGCATCCATCCATGGCAGCCACACACTGTGGGAAGCCCATGGCAGCAAAGGCCATCATCACCTGTGAGTCAGGAGTGGATGGTTAGTGATCCATCAGGTGCTCACAGGCCACTGTGGGCCACTGGTGGGTGTGACTGCCAGTGGCCTGTTTGGATACCATCTCAGTAGCCTCCCCCTCCACCAATGCCCCCTCTATGCTGTGGATTGTTGTGCCTGGAAATTCTACTTTGGGAGTCGGTGGCATTAGAGTTCTGATTGAGAGGTTTGGCTACTACAGGAATTATTTTTCTGGAGCCACCCTTCCTGAGCAACGACAACACTGTGTGTACGGCAGAGGCTAAAAAAATGTGAGCTACCACTGAGTACCTCAGCTTAGTGGACACACTGCACCCCACCCACCCCTCTGCCTGCACTCCCCACATGCTTGACGGGCCATGTTCCGGACCCTACTGTCCAGTCCTCACCCTGTCTGGGTTCCGGAGGTAGACGACTCTTTTGAGAAGTTGTTCTTTCATGGCATGTGTGACTTCCACGATGATGGACCGTCTGAGACCAAACTGCTGGCCTACGGTTCTGTAAGTCATGGTGTTGGCCATCCACCAGACAGCAACAGCAACACGCTGCTCCACAGACACAGGGACACGCATCTCTGTGTGTTCCCGGTGCAGTCTATCCCTGAGGGCATCCACCAGCCAGGTGAAGGTTGACCTGTGAAAACAGTGCCGTATAAGTTCTGCAGTGTCTTCCTCTGGTGGTATTGTGGCCCATCTCTCCAGATCTCCTGACCCTAGATGGATGGCACCTGCGGTACCCGGCCCCGGTGGCCACTGAGCTGCCAGTATGTGACCATTCTCACTGGGGCCAGGGGGTGGGATGCATCCACCTGGGCCAGGGCCTGGACATGTGGGGGTGGGGGTGCACATGTGCTACCACCTCAGAACAGGGTTGAGTGTTGTGACATGGGTGAGGTGTCCATTCCCCCTCGGTTGCCATTCGGTTTCCTCATAGCCATTGCTCCTATTCCCCCTGCTGTCTGCGATATGAACATCTGAACATGAGTGACCCCACTGTTGGATCGGGCAACAGGCATTGTGGCCCCATCTGCGATCCACAGCATTGCAGCCCACTCCCCAGGACCTGCCCCTACCACGCGTGGTCCATTGGCCACTGGCTGTGGGTGGCATACACTATCTCCACAGTACCTGGACATCCTGAAGTGCTGTAGCCACTGCTCATGGCCCCAGATGTGTGTGATGAACTGGGTCCACCAGTCCTTGGATCTTGGGTACACCCACCAGCGGCGCCCTGGCAGATGCTCTGCCAGGCTAACGAGCTGCAGGGTGTCTGCTGTCCTATGGGAGTGGCGCCGCCTTGGCCATGCTCAGCGAATGGCTGCAGCACATGCTGTTAGGACGGTTGTTAGCAGGTGATCATCCCCGTCCTCCATTGGCAAATGTACTTGCGTTCCTGAGGTCCCGTCCCTCTCCATCTCTGCGGAGCCCAATTTGTGGATGTCGCGTCCGTGTGCGGATGAAATGTCCGTGCATGTATTCTCCATCGTGCGCATGCTCGCAGCTACAAGGTTTTGCTTTTGCAGTGATGCGCATGCTCGCAGCTACAAAGTTTCTTTTTCCTCATCATGCACACCCTTAACATCCGGCAAAAAAAATGTATTAAACCGGAGCTTCTGCCGACATCCGATCACACCATGCCGTCTCTTCCTGGCCTCTGATGCACACCAACATTGCCGTGTGATCGCCGGCTACTGCGCGCCATCTCGGGAGCCATCTGATCACGATTCCGTGCTTATTTTTGCAGTGGCTCTAATTTGCCACTCTTCAGCGGCGGATCATCTAGCTAGTGTGGCAGGAGCCTTAGTTTAAATTGATTTTGGCCCAATCAGTTCTAGGGAGTTATTCTGTCACTGGAGTCCTAGTGCCTTGTGTAACTGTTTCATATCCTGTTTCCATAGTTCTCTATCTGCAGTCTTGCAAAGGTTTATAACCTTGGCATCATTAGATGCATTCACTGAAGTTGGTGTTGAAGAAGTTGGATCAAGAAGTTGAGATGTTTCTGTTGAAGAATGAGTAGCAGCCTGCCAGATCATGGTTTTGGTGAGTGATGAGGATAGAACCAATAGAGAGTTGTCCAAAATTGTAGCTTACAAATGTATTGCGTTGCTTAGTTCTGGGGGATTCAGGAGATTTACCAGTTCTTGTCTTTCATTAGAGGAGTATTCAACTGCATTAAGTGCATTGGGACAGTTAGATGTCTCATTGTTCAGTTGTAAGTTAGCTGAGCCAGTTGGCCATAGACTATTCTGTCCCCTTCATGAGGAGGTTTTTTGAATTTTCCGTTGAGTGTGTAACAGTGAGGGTTCCTTAGGACTCTTTTGATCTCATTTTGAGGGCTTCTGCATCTATCAGAGCTTGACTGGGAATTGTCTTTTTAAGCAAATACCCATTAAAGGATTTAAGCAGATCTTATTTATTTATTTATTTATATTTCAATTTCTATACCGCTCATGACCCCTAATGGGTCTCAGAGTGGTTTACAATGAACTACTTTATGTAGTTGATTACCTAGCTAGGGCCACAATTACACGGGGAGGGGATTACCTAACAGCACCCATGTGGTGTATTTCCTTCTCTCCGGCGGGCCTTGGACGTTGTTTTTCTGACGATCCGGATGACTGGCGACCATCTCAGGGCAGGCTCTGATGACTTTCCTCCTCCGGTGCGCAACTGCTTCGGGGCGCAGTTTCCGGCTATGTGTCCCATCAGGCTCCAGCTGTGCTGCGTCCCCTCATCGCTGCATTGCCCCGGCTCCACCTCCATTCGATCTGGTTGCCGCCTTCCTGGATTGCTTAGTTGCTCTGCCGCCATTGCTCTCACCGCCGCTCGACTTGCCACCGCCACTATCAATCGCACTCCTGGCACGGAACCAGGAGGAGGGTGCCCCCTGCCACCTAGGGCAGGTACCCATTTGTCTACTTGTTTTTTACTTTCGAGCCGCTGGGTTGGCGGGAGCTGGGACTGGGGCCGGGGGCTCAACCCGGCCGTGGTGAGGATTCGAACAGCCATTGTGGCTGTTCGCTATTGATGTTACCTGCAGGCGTTGTACTACCTGCGCCACTGCTCCCCTAACCCTAACCTTCATGGAGGCCGAGGAGCACTTACTCTGCTCCAAAGGAGACAGCTTAAAGGGGCAGTCCGCCAACACTGCACCTAGAACAGGTTTCAGATCTTTGGAGGGGCACCAGCAGGACACGCCGGGATCCCACGTCGGCGCAGCCGGTCTCCACTCGGCCAGCATTACCGATCGGACCTATGCCACCTCGCTTCCGTACTCCCCGGGGTCGCTGGACTCGGGGAACCCTGGGGACGTCCTCGAGGCCTCCTTTCTCTTCCCCAGGCCAATGTAAGTCAATGTAGCTGACTCCAACCTTTGGGGGGCTGAAACAGGGGGCGGGGCGCCCATAGCCTGTCGACGTTCGGCACATCTGTCTGGGAGACCTAATCTCCGAAGCTCCTGACCACTGACTCGGGGGGCCCAGCCGAGCCTTCAGGGGGGCCAAGACCCCCTGTCCACCCTGCCCGCGGCGGCGGTCCCTCCAGCGGCGGTCCCTCCAGCTCTTCCCCTCGCGACGGCTGCCGCCCATGAGCGCTTGCCCTGGGGTCCCGGGGGTTCCGCGCGGTTTGGAGTTTCTGCCGATCCCCTGGGGTGTCCCCTTGGTTCGGTGATGCTGGGCTCGGCGGCCTGGTCGGTGGTTTCAGCGGGCTGTTGCGGCGTGTACACAGGGCTTTCACAGAGAGTGGTCCCGCTCGCTTGCCTGCGAGGGTTTGGAAGACGCTCCTCTGGGCCGGTGGTGGTGGCGCCTTGGCTAGCATGTCGCCCTCGAGGTCCAGGAGGTGTTCGCGCCAGGTGGACCAGCTCAGCTGGGGTTGCGGTCCGTGGGCGACCGGATCCCAGTTATCGGGGGCCTGCTCGAACATTTTAGAGGGGTCGTGTGGTGCGCTCCGCGCCGCCTGGGTTTGGTAGGTCTGCCTGGTGTCCGGACCGCCCAGGCGGCGTTGGATGGCCGTGGTGGTGGCGCTGAGGTCTGCGGCCAGGCAGCGGACGGACAGCCACTCCGGTGGGATGCCCAGGCAGTGGCGCTTGCCGTCGTCTGCCGTCAACACGTGCTCCGCCACCGACAGCATGACGACAGCCCACACTCGGAGGGCAATTTCCCAGGAGAGCCGGCGCTC